ATATATGTATTCTATTTTCAAAGTATTACAAGGAGAGAATGATGTGCTTTGCCATAGAAAGCTGTGCTGATGTGCGGTCTGTCTTCTCATGACAAGATGAGGCCCCAGTAAGCGTCAATGTAGAAAATCAGCAGAAGAGAGGTTTTAATGATCCTAGAAGGAAACCTTGATCTGACGCTGTATTCATGCATTAGTCAGAATAAAGAACGCTGCAAAAACAACCCCGAATCTCAGTGGCTTGATACAGGATAGGTTTATTCCTTGCTCAAGTCACATCCAAAGCAGGTTAGTGGCTTTCTTCTAAGAGGTGACTCAGGAATCTAAGTTCTTTCCATCTTGTGTAGCCACCATCTTAAACATGTGGCCTTCAAAGCTGTCACAGATGGAGGAGAGAGAACATGGACTGTTCCACACGGGGTTTCATGCCAGTTCTAGAAGCACCTTACATCTCTTCTAGCCACATTCCATTGGCCAAAACCCACTCATATGGCCCAGACTAATTACAAGGGAAGCTGGGAGGTGCATTCTCCCAGAGTGCCAGGAAGAGAAAACAAGATCAATATGTAGCCAATCTCCACCATAGGTGATGTTTTCTTCAGTCTATTAAGTCATTAAACTTTGAGTGTGCTAACTAAGCAAAGGTAAGAAAGAAAAAAGCTGAACAAGAACTTTTGTTAGTCTGATACAATAATTTGGGGATGTGGCGGTCCAGGACCATCCTTGGCAGAGTGGGGAATTCCAGTAGAAAACAAATCACTATGTACCCCACACACACCTGTGCCCCTTGTGTGTTCCCCACCCTAGGGAACGGCACCACCATCCACCCAATTGCCCAAGCCAGACTCTCTCTCTCTCCCACCTTCTGCTTCCAGAGTCCCCACCCTGCTGATTCCATCTCCCGGCTCTTTCTTGAGTTCATCCCACTTTCTTTATCCCAGTCATTGCCTTAGTCCAGGCTTATCATTGCTCCTGGACTTCCGCAACAGCCTCCTACCTGGTCTCCCCACCTGCAGTTAGTCTCACCCCATCCCATCTATGCTACATGCTGCAATCAGAGTACTCTTTCCGAAACATAAAGCTGATCGTGTCAGTCCCCTGCTTAAAATTTTGTAATCATTCCCATTGCCTTCAGAACAAAATTCAGAATCCTTGATGTGACCAATAAGGCCTCACATACTTGGTGTCTTGTTTGGTCCTCTAGCCTCACCCCTCGCCATTGCCCCTTCTCTCTAAGACCCCACTCACATGATACACTCCAGCCAAACATTACCGCTCATGGTTCCACTCAAGGAACCACTCGAGGTACCACTCGAGGAACCCAAGTTCCATCTTCTCCCAAGATGGGCTCATCTCCTCCATCTGCCTCCAACTCGTGCCTCCTCATGTTACTTCCCACTTGCCTCTGATAGGGTGAATATAATGCTCCTCTGTGGTGAAGAAGAAAGGAATTATTTGAACATGGTGCTGCCATTCACTGGGAAGTGAGAATCTGACCAGACTTAACATCATAGCCCTAGGTCATTGTTTGGCAAGGGCTGGGGTCAAAGTATTGCTATTAGGAGGAATGTGCCTTGTCTCATATAGACTAGACTGGGGGGTTCTGTCAGAGTAGCACTCCATAGAGCAACCCCCTAAGTTTTCTTTTATACACCTGGGGAGAACAGCTGGCCCTGGCACAACTGAGACCTCACAGGTCCCCTCCCCTTCCTCCTTTTCATGGATCCAACTCCATCTCAGCCTTCTCTCCTAGAAGTCTTCAGGAGCCAGGAAAAATGGAGACACCACTGACATCCAGCTGAAGTCTGGCACAGCAGAGTTTGCAAGTCTCAAGAAAGTCTTGACACTGGAACTCAGTTATCCCATGGGGAAGCTTGTCATGTCCTGAAAGGGAAGGCATGGGCACCAGGCACTGAGGGCGTAACAGGGGCTGTAGAACAACAATAAGGAGGACGGGAGGGATGAGAGGCTGAAGAAACGAGAACACTCCGAGGGCATAATCAGTGAATCCTCTGCTGACGGCCCAAGGAGGGGACTAAGAGCTGGCCAGTGCACCCACTCTCAACAAAGGGAGCAGCACCATCTATGCGGGATTTCCTAAGAGGGGCCCTCAACCAAGTCTGTGACCTCAAGCTATCATCACCTGCAGGCTATGCAAGTGGGGAGAGAACAATCAGGGAGAAGAGTGGAGGGGAGGATTCCTGGTGTCTGGGGGGCTGTGTGTTCCCTCCCCCTGGCAGGAAAGGGAGAAGGTCTCTCTCCCTTCCCAAAGCTAGGTGAGGGGACTTCAATGGAACTCCTTAAAGAATTTGATGTGACACTGGACTCTGAGGATGTAGATAGAGACTGGCGCCTGACCCCTGCCCGTAGCATTCTGAAAACAAAAAGTCTGACCAGAGGCACCCTTGATGTGACAGCAAGGAGAGAAAGCAGCCTGCTCCCACCGCAGCCTGCTTTCCTAGAGCTTGGAGGAGTGAGCGATATTTCCCATGGACTAGAGTGGACCCTGCTGAAGGTCATGAGGCTTGAGCTGTCTTGAAAGGGACCCTCCCAACAGGTCTGCCTGCAGCAGGAAGTGACTGCAAAAGAAGAGGCTGTGAAGGGTGAACCTTCAGACACAGAAGCCAAGAAGGAAAACCAAAACGACCAGTCCAAAGGGGCACCACCCACACCACTGCACCAGTGAGCCATGAGGTGGGCAGATGACCCCCAAAGGTGGGGGGAGCGGTCCCCAGATGGACATTTTCAAAGAACTCGTAAAAATCAGACCTAGCATTTGGGCATCTGGTTCTCTCAGAGGCATGCAAGGATGATGGCTCCTACGCCCCGTCTCTCCTCTCTTCCTCTACCTCCCCTGGAGGCTGAACCAGTCTAGGGAGTGGGAGATGAGTGTAAGGACGAAGATAAGGAAATCCTGAAGAAGCAGACCCCAATGCTGTTCTCCCCACTGCGGGCTTCCAAGTGAGAAGCTTTAAATTGGAAACACTAAAGCTTCAATATCAGACTCGACTAGACTTTTTAAACCTAAAAGTGAGGCTGCTCATTAAGATCTAAAACTGACCAGGAAAGCTGTGGGATCAGACAGATATGTCAGAAAGTTGGAGAAGGAAAGGTGTGGATGTGAAGGAGGAATCATCAAGTTCTTCCTGCTTAGGCTGCACCAAGCCTAGCTCATTCAATGAACTGGTGACATCAGCTACACTGGGGTAGTATTCCTAATCGTGTACACCTTGGACCTCACATGGATAAGGGGGAGCCTTCTGATGTCTCAGATTGCCACTCACATGGGCTTCAGGTAAGCTGAAATTTTGGCCAGCAGACACTCACCAAAGCTGATCCATAACCTCTAATTCACCTTTCTCAACATTTGGCCTTCCCAAGCAAAGGGGGCCACCCTCGTCTCAACTCTCCTGAAGCCACTAGGGCTGCTTAAGCAGTATTTACGGTTCTCCTCCAAGCACATTCATCAGTTAACACGGAGCCTTGACACCCCACACTGTCTCCAGGAGAGGGAAGGAAAGCCAGAGCCAGGCGGCCAACGGAATTCTGCACTGACATCTGGAGGACTGGTTCAGCCTGCCCAGTGAGGGTTGTTGATTCCAGGCGCAGACCCAAGAACTAGAAAATGTCAGGCTTTGCTCAGCAAGCCCCTTCTGTGAGTGAGAGGAACGGATGAGTCTGGAGGGAATACAAATGGGAAAACTGCTTAAAACAGCTGAGTGAACCCACCAGCCTTTCCCTGACCCTTTAGATGAGCAAAAAGAGAGTAGCAGAGGAGAAATCCCATCCAGTGACCTCTCTCCCAAGAAGGGGTGACATTACTTTTCTGTGCAGGTGAATTTTTCACAACCTAAATTTCAAGAACTGGTGGAGCTACACCTCAGTATTTCTCCCTACTTACAGTTTTCTTTCTGCATTTTTTTTGGCAGAATTGTGTGTGTCTGTGTTGGTGTATGCGTGCATGAGTTTCCTAGGGCTGCTGTAACAAAGTACCACAAACTCGGTGGCTTACAACAACAGAAATTTATTCTCTCGCAGTTCTAGAGGCTAGAAGTCCCATATCAAGGTGTCAGCAGCACCGTTCTCTCTCAGAAGGCTCTAGGGAAGAATCCTTCCTCACCTCTTCCAGCTTCTGGTGGCTCCAAGCGTTCCTTGGCTGTGGCTGCATCACTCCAATCTCTGTCTCTGTCTTCACATGGCCTTCTCTCCTCTGTGTCCATATCTTCTCTTCTGTGTCTTATAAGGTCACTTGTCATTGGATTTAGGGGCCATCTAGATAATCCAGGATGATCTTATCTTGAGATCCTTAACCTAACAACCTCTGAAAAGACTCTTTTTCCAAACAAGTTCACATTCACAGATTCCTCGTTGATGTGTCTTTTGGTGGCGGGAGGAGGGAGAATATCATTCAACGAAGGCAAAAAGACAGGAACAAAATGATAAACTATTTAGGGTCCAGGAATAAGGAACTGGGGTTCGTGGGAAAGTCCTTCCATTTTGGAGATATGAGTCCAGCTCCTCCTTGTCTCCATATGGAAAGTCTCACAGGGGCCCCCACATCCCTGCCTCTCTTAGAATCTCTAGATCTGGATCCGTTGGAGGCACTAGGATCAAGAGGACATAGGGGGCGCTCTCCCCAGAGGCTGTGCACGAAGACCACACCTCTGTTGGGTGGCACACAATGGAAGCGTCGGCGTTTGTAAGGAGATGGAAAGCCTTTCTCTTTCTTGAAGTGGAAAAATCAATCTCCTATAAGGAAACCAAGGCCTATTTCTCCAGGGCCAACTCCTCAAACAGGTACCACTCTCTTGAGAATAATGAATGAAAAGGACTTTGTAAGGGAGGGAGGGGAGGCTGCTTGATCAGTTTACAGCACTTGGTCTTAGAGTATTTTAGTTCTTTGTTTACTCATTTATCTCGCTCATTACAGTAAGCAGCTAAAGAGCCGGAACTGTGACCTAATCAATTGTATATCCCCATGTGCTTAATAGGGCCTAACAGGTGGTCAGTGAAAGCTGGAGGGATGGATGGACGGATGGATGGATGGATGGAAGGAAAGAAGGAAGGAACAGTGTGGATAAAATAATGTATTCAGATATGCAATTGTTTTTTTCCTTCCTTTATGCCATTTGAAGTGAAACTCAATTCCATCAGCCTTTATGCTCTTGTTAGTGATTGTCATGAAATGTCATGTGTGGTGAGAGTATAAAAATTTCCAGGTTGTGGCCAGCCCGGGGGTACAAGCAGTTAAGTGCACACGCTCTGCTGCGGAGGCCTGGGGTTCGCCGGTTCGGATCCCAGGCGTGCACCGACGCACCGCTTGGCAAGCCATGCTGTGGCGGCATCCCATATAAAGTGGAGGAAGATGGGCACAGATGTTAGCCCAGGGCCAGTCTTCCTCGGCAAAAAGAGGAGGATTGGCAGATGTTAGCTCAGGGCCGATCTTCCTCACAAAAAAAATAAAAATAAAAATTTCCAGGTTGCATTTAGGGGCCATGTGTAGTTTACAACCCACCTGTTCTCACCACCAGCATGAGAGTGACTGAGCTGTGAGCCTGTGGATCCTGGAGGAGAAAGCACGTGGAATATTTCTTAACCTTCGATGTCTGACATCTGCCTAAGCTTCTATAGAGTGCAGAGCTCTCTCACACAATGATCGCATTTCGATTCTCACAGCTGCCCTGCGAGGAGTTCACACGAAGTGTCTCCATTTCGCACATGAAGAAACTGAGGGTAACCAAGTTCTGCAAACCATCCAGGGTTGAGCAGCCGGTGCTTCAACCCAGGTTTTCTGACTCTCAGTCCAGGACTTATTCTCTTTCACCATAAGCAGAAATACATTATTGGCTTGTGTCTTCGTGTCATAGAAAACAATGTTCTTTGTTAACGTTTAAAGTCTCGAGAGTCCATATTGCCAAAACGGACACCAGTTCCCGATCTGATGCATCAATAGTGAGAGAATAAGCTGTGTCCTGCTCCCTGGCAATAATTCTACTTAAGCTGTATTTAATAATACCCAACTGAGACCTGAAAAGTGATCAATTCAACTGAAGAATAAAAGCAAAGTGTACTCGTACTGCCAACACTGGAGAGGCCCTTTGAGGACGCCCCTCTGAGCATCAAGCTGGTGGAAGGAAAGACCCCGGGACCAGGTAGCTCGGACCAGCCTTGTGACCCCACCCAGGCCACAGTGACAAGCTCGTGTGTCCTTGGGAGGCTCACTCTGTTAAGGGTGCACGAATGGAAGAGCAAGATGAAAGGAGACTCCTGGAGGTAGTGTGGGGAGGGTGTGTGGGGCCAGGCTGCCAGGATGCACTGGGATAGAATCACAGGCGAGAAAGGGGATGAACGGGCTGCACTGTGCTTGAAGGTACACCATCATATTCAGGCAATGCCATGCCTGCGCACACGTCACCAGGGCACTGGCTTAGGGCAGAGATTTCTGTATACATAGAGGCAGAAGGCTAGAGGAAAGAAACATGGGCTAAAAGCAAATCAGGGTCAATACTCCCCACCTCCAGGCTGCCCACCCCCCACCCTGTGCCCATTGCAGGCGTTCAGGTAGCTTCCTTACTCTCTCGACTGTAAAATCCACTGGCCCCTTAGTATTTGTGAAGAGGCAGCGGGAAGAAGATGACATGGCAGAAAGAGAACAGTTTCTGAGTCACACAAGCTTAGGGAGATGCTGGCTCTGCACACCATCGGCTGTCAATTTAGTTCAGGTTGTACAACTCCTCAGAGCCCTGGTTCCCTCATCTACTTGGGGAGAGACGGGAAAACTCACCCCTGAGAAGTGCAGATCTTCTATGAGGCCTTTGAAGTACGTGAATAAGGTTGAAAGCTTCAGGTACTCATCTAAGGACTCCTTAATTCCTCCAAGGCACGGAGTGCTCACCACCCCAGGTGGTGGTTGTGCCTAACGTGGTAGCAGAGGCCCCACGGTTAAACTATTCCTCATCACGAGGAATAAAAAGAAGTAAGAAATTAAGACATGCAAGATCCAATGGTGATTATTTTCTTTGAAAAATAATATTCCTTAAATAGTGTTACAAATTAGGAATCCAATTTGTAGCAAGATTTTAAAAAATCAAACTCCTACACCCAAAGCTAGCACCTCCTTGCATTAAACTATCAAATGTGACTCAGCTTAATCTTGGCTCACTAGCTTCCATGCTTCCTTTCTTATTATCCGAAACCTTTATGTCTGTAGTTTCTGAGTAGTACCATTACTTTGAGGCTCCACAGGAGCTATGTGTTTGAAACAGAAAGAAAAGAAAGAAAGAAGGAAGGAAAGAAAGACAGAGAGAGAAAGAAAGAAAGAAAAAAGGGA